TTTCTTTCTTTTTTTAAGATTTTATTTATTTATTTGTTTGTTTATTTATTTATTTATTTAGAGCCCGCGCGCAGGCCTGAGCACTCACAAGGGGAGGGGCACTCTAATCGGAATGCAGAGCCTGAGGGGCTCAAGGTGGAACTAGATCACATGATCTGAGATCCTGACCTGATCTATAACCAAGAGTCCATGGCTTATGAGACTGAGCCACCCAGGCTCCCCTAGAGTTACACTTTTTTTTTTTTTTAAAAGATTTATTTATTTATTTCAAAGACACAGAGAGAAAGAGAGAGAAGAAAGCACAAGCATGAGTAGGGGTGAGGGGCAGAGGGAGAAGCCGACTCCCCACTGAGCAGGGAGCCAGACGCAGGGGCTCCGATCCCTGGACTCCGGGATCATGACCTGAGCCAAAGGCAGACGCTTAACCTTAACCGACTGAGCCACCCAGGCACCCTCAATGGCATATTTTTAAGACAAAGCTTCCAAAAGCAAAAAAGGAAAAGGTCTGCCCTGGCCTGCCTTTCTGTCCAGGGAAATAATGGTGGTGGTGCGCTGTTGCCAAGATAGATGAGCCTTGTGAAAGGGAGTCTCACTTGCTTGGCCAGTTGGTGGGGTAGTGTAACTGCGTTAGGGAGGCACATTCACCCAGCCTGGCCTGTGAAGGAGGAGTTTTGCTGATTGGCACATCCCGCATCTGGCGGCCCTCCCAGCACCCGGGCCCATGGCTACTTGCGATGAGATGGAGCCCTCCCCAGCAGGCTTGGCACATGGCCACACTTCAGCCGTAATAGTTGAGCTTTGCTTCAACTTCTGGTTTGTGCTACTGCACTTCTCAGAGAGCATCAGACCTTGATACCTTGACGGTCTTCTGTTCACCGGACATGGGCTCCCTCCCCATGCCCTATTTAAAATTCGCACCTTTACAGAGAGTGTACCTATATTTGCACCGGGAGCTCCAGGGGCTCTGCCGCCCAGCCTGCAGTTAGCTGTGGTTTCTGGGATGCGGGACATGGAATCTATTTTCATCCAACTTGGCCCCAACCCAGAGGTTCCAGCCCACTGAAGCCGGAGGTAACTGATGTGATTTAGGCCTGATTTACTGAGCTTGTTTTTCTCCTTCCAGCATCCTCAATGTGGAGGACTGTTCTTGTTCTGATTTCTGGACCATAATTTTTTGTAAGTTTTTTCAGGTTAAAAAAACCTCAGTCGTCTTTGCCCCTTCATTACTTCTCGGTTTATTCAGTGCACGATCAGCTTCTTCCGCTATCTCTGTAGGTGACACATAATGCTGCAGCTCCTGCCCTAGGCAGCTGAGGTGGTCCCTTGTCCTTTGTTTGCTTCTCAACAGCTGACATCTTGCTGTTATTTAAAAATTACATTAATTAGGGGCACCTGGGTGGCTCAGTCAGTTGAGCGTCTGACTCTTGGTTTCCGCTCGGATCGTGATCTCAGGGTTGTAGGGGATCTGTGTGTAGTTGGACTCTGCGCTCAGCGGAGAGTTTCTTTCTTTCTCCCTCCCCCTCTGCCCCCCCATGTGTATGTGTGCTCTCCCTCTCTCAAATAAATAAAGAAAAAGATCTTCAAAAAATTACATTAATTAGCCCACTATATGTGAATATATATAACATTTTTATGAAAAATAATTATTTTCCATATTGGAAAATATTTAGTGAGAAGAGTGGCATTGTTTTACATTTTTGCAAATACCTTTAATGTCTGTTGCAATAGGTAGCTGGATTCTCCTATCTGTTTCTACATCCCATCTGTTGTAATATCATATATTGTGTGGCTTCTGGAAAATTCCATGATGCGTGAGAGAAATGTGAGAAAAGGCAAATAGCATCTCGTATTATGAAAATGGTTTGGGCCATGTAGAAAGGGCCTCAGGGATGCCCCCAGAGTCCCCAGACCACACTTTGAATACCTGTGACCTAGAGTGAGGGTCAGTATACCTTTTCTTAGAGGGCCATATTGTAAATATTTTAGGCTTAATCTGTCGTAACTATTCAACTCTGCTGTGGTATCAGGAAAGAGCCATGGATAACATGTAAACAAATGGGTATGACCATAACCCACAAAAACTTATTTACACAAACCTGCGGGGGGTGGGAGGAGGTGGGCTGGATTTGGTATACTGTGGCCAATGAGCCAACTCCTGGTCTACAACACCAAGCTTGCAGGGGCCCTGGGTTTAGGGCTTGTGCCACAAAAGGGGGTGGACAGTGCCATCTGATTCATCCTAGCCAGGTCCCTTCCAGAGGAAGAGAAAAGGAATTTCTCAGAGAAGACTAGATCTTGTATTTTAATTACCCTAGTTCCCACCTGGTAAAATCCAGTCTCCACCTTCTACTTAGACATCCCTCGGCCAGTTCTGCTTCTCCCATGGCCCAAGCTTCTGCCCTGCAACTCTGCTGCTCCTCAGGAAGCAGAATCTGCACATCCAACTCTGGGGAAGCTGTGCTGGCCATCTCTGCCTCTCCCGCCACCTCGGGTCATGGGCACCTGGGCCGGCAGTACAAGCTAGCCAAGTGGGCCAGCCATCCCCCTGACTCCTGAGTTAGGCCACCTTAGTGACATTGTGTCATCTGTGCTTTTGTTTACTTTTGGAGCCTCTTGCCCACACACCCCTGTTCCCACGGGGACCAAAGCTGTCTTTGGACTTGAGTCTTAACCTGCCTTTTACCACTCTTGCCTACCCCATGCCCCTAGACCTGGTGGGAATAAAAAGTCTTCAGTGAGCAGGTGTTTTTCTTCCTCTGCTGCAGAGGCAAAGAACTCCTGGTTCCGGTTCCTTTGTGGATCCAAGTCTCTGACCTGACATTTCCTCCAGTCATTCCCATTCGTCCTCTGGTCCTTCCCTTGACTCTGCCTGCCTCCGCAGCCCTTTGGCAACCTGGTCTGTGCTGGGTGCTCTCCAGCTGGAGGACATGGCCTCTGGACCCCAGACTGGCCTGGGCACGAAGGAAAACAGGAGGCTGGGGCAGCCTAAGCAACTTGTATTGAATGCGCTTGCCCTTCCTCAACCGTCTACCAGCTTCATCTTCCTTTGCTGTCCTTATCTTCTCCACCAGGGTAATGCAGTCACCCCAGGGGGGCCTGATACTGCTGGGCAAAAGCTGGAGTCTGAGCAGGGTAGGGTAGGGCCGGCTCCAAACTAGTCTCCTTAGCTATCAGAAGGGGTCCCCCCCAATGTATGCCCCAAACCAGCTTGCCCAGTTTCATTCCCCAGAAAAAGATTGTGTGCCACCAGCTTGGGAGGAGATTCATCTGTTCCTCTGCCTACCACTTTCAAAGTCAACCAGGAAGTTATTGCTATTTGGCTTTAAAAATAGAACATTCAAGCTGGACTTTTATGGTCTTGTGAAGAACACTGTGCTCATGCCCACCCACACCTGGTCTCTGCCCCTGCCTGGCCTCATCCAGCTGCTCAGGAGCCGTTCTCAGTGGGCCCCTCAGTGGAGACTTGGTAGATTTATGAGTTCAGCCTTGGCTGAGACCTTTTCCCCATGGCTCCCAGCCACCGTTCAGCTGCTCTCCCACATCCCATGCAGCCCACGCTGGGACATTCTGTGTCTTTTTCTGCCTCCACCCCAACTTGCTGAGTCACCCCTCAGCCCCTTTCCCCTGCTGCCCTGTCCCAGCCCTGTGGAGGAGCAGTGGCTTGTCATGCCAGAGCCTCATTTAGTCCCACAATGGCAATGGTGGCTCTAAGGCTACCTGTGTTGGGACTCGAGTCAGCCTGGTCCATCCCCTCCCGCTCTGAGGCACTGATCTTTAACAAAAAGCTGGTTCCTTCTCTGTCTGGACTTCAGGTTCCTTTGGTTTTGAAGCTGTACCTGATCTGGAAAGTTACTTTTAGTATGTGTAGACTCTAGGATTAGTCCTCAAATGAGTTCTTCAGAGCCAGAGAGAAATTCCGCTAAAGCTCTCAGAGATCTCTGGCACCCCGTGGCAAGACTTAAGGAGTGCCTGGGAGGGCAGTGCCTGTGGGGAGAAGCTGCCTCTGGAGAGCTCATTTGTAGACAGATTGTAGGAATAACTCCAGAGCCAGTGAGGCCTTAGGCCAAAATTATATAAAGAACCCAGGGAACCCAGGCCTATCTTGTTTTTCCTGGAGGTTAGGTTTCTAACATAATGGAAAGAGAAGACTAATTGTCATCCCCTGGAAAAGGTAAGTGTTCTCTTTCAAAGGTCCTTCAAGGAGGTAATCAGGCCCATCAATATCCTTCAGATGCAAGGCCTTCAGGTGCTGTCTGCTTCAGTTCCGGTAGGCCTGCCTCTGGGATAAGATCATGTCAAACTAGGCAGCTGGGACCATCGAAAAGTTTCTCTGGAAACTGGAATGCAAGCAATGCAAGCTTTCTGGCTTAACCCATAAATCTAAGTCATTATCAAGAAAAGAGTGGAAGGGTGCAGGGCCCAGAGAGGGAGGAAGTGTAGTGATGAGGGGCAGCTGGAGAGACCACAGTGTAGACAAGACTCCTAAATTCCCCCCTGCCTCTTGGACATCAGGTAACGTCTTGTGGAGCAATAGCAAGCAGGCTCCCTTCTTCAGTTTCCATCTGCCTACGTGACCCTGGCCCAGTTCTGTTCACACTCACAGCTGCCCAGAGCCTGTCCTGCCCTTGGCTTTCCCATCAGCACCTGCAGCTGCTGCCCTCCTAGGCCTCTAACCTCTGCACCCGCATGTCCGGAGGGTTTGTGGGAAGCTTCGGGGAGAAAGCAGGGGCGGTGTCCTAACGCAGAGTCCCACCCAACCCAACCCTGTCCTCTCCCACTTCCCTTGCAGCTACCACAACACCCGCCTCCCCCAGTGCTCCTGAGTACCCTCCCATTGCCGAAGGGCCCACTGCTTCGCCAGGTCTGCGTGCTGGAACCTGGGAGCTGAACCTGAGCCTGTTCAATCTGAGGGCTGAGAGTCAGAGGGAAGACAGGGCTGGTAGAGAATCTAGGTTCCTAAGCTCGAGTCGTAGTCTAGGAGAAAAAGGCAAGTCTGATGCTCATTTGTCACCGAGAGCTGGTGAGCGTGGCCTCGTGGGAAAGAGAGCGTCTGCCTCTTCAGAGACTTGGGGTCTGGCCTCTGCCTCCATTGTTCTTTGGCTTGAGGTGGTAGCTGTGGTGGGGTCAAGGCCAGAGCTCCCCAGGCCTCCAGCATAGAGACGAGATCGCATGGGCCACTTCTGCAAGACACGGGGATGGGAAGTGAGTAATGCTCACTGTTGCAGCCCCTCGTAGTCCTTGGCACCCCAAACTTGGCCTTCACTAGCCCCCCTCCCTGAGGCCCTCCCCCACCATGACTGCTCTGATGACAGTGGTCTCGGGCTCACCACCACCTACGGCTCACCACCACCTACGGCCCCCTGCCTTCCCGTGACCCGCTGAGCCTGGCAGAGAGACTCATGAGGAGCTGTCTGAGAAGAGCAGGGTCCTAAAAGGAGCCCTCTGACGGTGGGGAGGGAAGTGCACGGCAGAGCTGGCAGCAGCCAGGGGCTGGGCAGCGGGGAGGGCAGCAGAGCCGGGGCAAGGAGAGGGTCCTCCTGATACTGAACAGCCCTGACCTCTTCTCTTGCTCAGCCCCCAACCCAGGTATCCCTGGCCACCCTTCTCAGTGCTGCCCATTCGTCTAAGCTGGGGACCTCCTTGTGCATCCTTCCAGCAGGAGCGTGGACAACCCCAGAAAACACCAGTTGACTCTGCTCTGAGGGCTGTCCTCCTCTTGGCAGCCCCTCTATGGGGTGGGGGCGCCAAAGGGGCACTGCTCCCTGCTAACTATCCCATCCCACCACGCTGCCTGAGTTCTAGACAGAACCGGCTCTCATCTCTTCTTTCTTCAGCATATTTATCCATCACCTTCTACATGCAAGGGCCTGACTTGGGTCGTCGCTTTACAGGTAAGGAAACGACTCTGCCACTGTCAGCATTTCAGAGTTGTCCCCATTTAGTCTCAAGTTCTTGCATTTTAGCTATATTTGCATGAAAGAAAAGAAATCTCAAGTTTCAAGACATTTCAGAACTGTGATGTTTAGGGGATAGAGAGGGTGAACGTATCCTCCATAAAAACAAGGCAGAGCCCTTTCCAGTGCTGTCTAGCCTCAGAGGGCGGAGATGACCCATCCTTTATAACAGTTCACTCTGCAACCAGCAGCTTACAGCACCCTTGGCCTGCTTGGTGGCTATGAGCATGGGCTCTGAGGTCAGACACCCTCGGGTTCAAACTCCATTGAGCCACTTAGTCTCCCCAAGATTCGATTTCCTCATCTGTAAAGTAATCCTCATTGGGTTCTCGTGTGGACAAGAAGATGGAAAGAATTGGAGTGCTAAGCCCAGCTCCTGGCATAACTTTAGCACCCAAATACTGTTATTGCTGTTATTCACCAGTGATGGTGAATATTGTTAATTATACTTTTCACTCATGATCTCATTTCATACCATGGAGGGGAAGTAAGGCTCGTGTTAGCTTCCCTTTCACATATGATAAAGCTGAGGCTCAGGAAAGGCAGGTCCCGGTCTAGGAGGTGGGAAGCACCCCCCCACACACACAGACACACACATTCTGCGCCCCCCACTGCTGGTCCCTCCCCCACCCCAGCTTGATTGCTTCTCCAGTGAGGCTTTCTGAGACCTTGTTCTCCCAGAGGGGGATCCCTCCTATGGTAGAAGTCCAGAGGACACCGAGGCATTATATGATGATTGGGTGATGTGCCCTGGAATCTAGGACTCTCCTGGTGTGGTTTCCTTTCCCAGGTCCCAGCCCCAGAAACCGCTCCGAATTTCCCTCCTCTTGGAGGAACTGCATTTTCCATGAAGTCATTTCCAATCACCACCCCCACTGCACCCAGGGTCAGCCGATTCCCAAGAGCCAGGCTTGGCTCCTCTCCCTCTGAGAGAGCAGGAAGCAGCCAGTCCCCTGGTCCCCACGTCAGCTCTGCTCAGGGCAGGGGGCCTGAGTCCAGTCCATCCCAAACCCCATTCCCCAAGGCCTGGGGCTCGTGGCCTACCTTGAGAGGGTGTAGGTAGCAGAGTCCACGCAGGAAGGGAGGCCAGGCGGGGCCGGGCAACTCACGGCCCAGTGTGCGGGTGAGGTGGGCTATGTAGCTGGTGGCCAGCACCAGCACATCCAGCTTGGAGAGCTTGGTGTCGGGTGGCACAGCAGGCAGAGCGGCCTGCAGGGCCAGGAAGGCCTGGCGCAGTGTCCTCACCCGGCTCCGCTCCCGTGCAGCGTTCTTGGGACTGGCCTCACTCTGCACAGAGGACCCCAGGTGAGTGGGTCTGACTGGACCCCCATCGGCCCCTGTTTCTAAGAGCATTCTAGTGTGAGGTCTCCTTCCAGAGCAGTGGTGTGCTGAACAGCAGAGACCTGAGGACCTCAGGCCCTGTTTGTCCGCTCTCAGTCCTACCCTGCTTTACGCCTGAGGAGATGCAGAGAAGGTGTCACTCGGGGTCAGATGGCAGCAGGGGGGCAAGGCTGGGCTCAGAACCTGAGAGTCCTTTCCTCTTTCTAATACTCTAGCCCTTGCTCCGTACACACCCAAGTCTGAAGCCTGCTTATCAGGGTGCCCTGGGACCGCGGGAAGCTCAGAGCCGCCCCTGCTCCGTAGGGCTGACCCTTGCCCAGCCAGGTCCTGAGATGAAGGCACAGCTGCAGTGAAGAAGAAAGGACCCCCAACGGGGGGCCAAAACCCACAGCTGCCGTCCTGGCCCCACCACCGGCTGCAGTTCTGGGGCTGTGGGGAATCCACCCCATTCCTCCAGGCCTCAGGGCCCCCAGAGAAGTGAGTTGGGCCAGCTCTCTGAGCCGCACTCTGGGTGAGACCCCCTGAATTACCCCATCCCCCCAAGCGTGGAGCCTTGGGGTCGAAGGCGCCAGTGTCCCCCCTCTTGGGCAGGGACAGTAATGCTGAGTGAGGCTTCGCCGTCAGAGGTGACACCTCAGCCCCTCCAACCCCTGCCTCCCCCCC